TATTGCAGGTCTGACAGCAGAGACAGTCATAAAACCACTGGCCTAGTCCTCTCCTCCAACATTTGCCAGTGGACCTACCCTGAATAAGGAGACATGCACTGCCAGCTCTGTCCAGGAGACTGTTACCAGCTACAGTTAGCAGTTACTACTGCCGAAACAAAGAATACTTTAGGTTAGCAAGCACTTCTAGAAATCTAGTGTATGTACAGCTTTGGCTAGAGCACCCAGGGCCATGTTAAGTGTCTATCTCTAAGGGGGGAAATGTCACAACATCCCTTGCCAACCTGTTCCAAAATTTGACTACCCTTGTTATACAGAAGTGTTTTCTTATGTTCAGATGGAAAATACTGTTTTGGTGGTGGTGGTGGTGGTGGTGGTGGTGATTGGTTGTTTTTTTTTTCATTTCTTTGTTTTAAATCCATGCCTCTTGTTCTGTCACTGGACATGACTGAGATGACTCTGACTCCCCCTTCTTCTCTCCCAACCATCAGCTATTTGTATATATCAATAAGATCCCTGTTGAATCTGCTCTTCTTCAGGCCAAACAATCTCTCTCAGCCTTTCCTAATGTGAAAGATGCTCCAGTCCCTCAGTCTACTTTGTGGTTCTTTGCTGGACTTGCTCCACATCTTGTACTGGGGAGCCCAGAACTGGACCCAGTGCTCCAGATCTCCAGCTGAGAATTCAATGTAGATATCAGCTCCCTTGACCTGCTAGTAATGTGTTTACTAATGCAACCCAGTATGCTATTGGCCTTCTTTGCTGTAAGGATCAGGCCCAGTTTGAGACTAACAGACTGAATGTAATGAATGTGCTGGAGATCAGAGGTTCCACAAAAATGCTATTTTTCATGGTTACAAAGCTAGATTAAATTACCAGAACAGTTATCATTAAAAGCCCACATGCATCTATCTTTTCCTGCCTCTTCCCTGCATAGCTCAGTCTTTCAGGTACAGCATAAAGTGTGATGCACCATGGTGTTGAAAACCCTCACTGCTTAGAATGGAATAGTCCCTCTTGTGGGTTGCTACAGTTTCCTTGAACTGGGTGGGAAGGAGTTAAAAATTCCACTGGCTTTCTGGCTAGTTGGGCTCTCAAGAAACATCAGGTTCTCTTTCCTGCTCTTCTTCATAGCAGTGTCATTCCTGCTGTGCTTTTCTAAACTTTTGTAAAGAGCTCCAGGGATGGGAACAGGAACATTTCCACAGAAAAACTTCGGTGGTTCAAAACTGTTACTGTTTCTAAGGTCCAACATCTAATGATAATCTTCTTTGGCACCTCTTGGGTCCATTATCATCTGTCATACCAATACATCTTCCTTGACACCAGACATGGTAGTGTTTGATTATTTGGAGTTCATATGTTTGACATTTTCTCCTTTGGTCCTTCATTTAATCAAAACCAGCAGACAGAATCATAACTGGGATTGAACTGATAGCCCCAGATCTCCACCAAGCTCATAGTGCTCACTAAGACAATTGCATCTGTTTTCAAATAACATACAGTCCTTCTATCTGATAGACATGTCAAACCATGTTTCCACGTAAGGTATGTAAGAGTAAAATTGCCTACAGTTTGTGAAAAAGGAAACAAAGGTAAAAGAATGCACAGAGTGTTTCAAATAAAACACTGAATGAAGAACTGAAATAAATGAGGTATAGACTTGAATGTGAAGTTTTGTATATAAGACTACTATGTGACTTATGGAAATGAGAAATGGCATGGAAAATGTGAAGTATCAGCTGAGAATTTCGAAGTGCTACAAAGAACATGGGGGCAAGAGACTTCAGGCTACAGAAGCTGGAAGAAAAACCATGGAATGGGAGGGAACAGAAGAGAGAAGGCAAGCAAGAAGTGAAAACATCTGTGTCATAACAGGGAATGATAATATTGGAAGGTTCCATAATTTTAAATGGTATTTAGTTCTAAAGGGAGGGATGGTGAGATAGAAAAGGTTTTCTGAGCCTGTGGGGCAGAAGTCAAGGTCAACATTGGTATCACTCAGGATATTTAAACTATCTTTTAGGTTAAGACAAGACCAGTCAAACAATGTGGGGAAATATCAGAAAATTTGATAGAGATATTAAACACTTTTTTTTTTTTTTTTGCTTGTTACTTATTTGCAAATACTACATTTGCTCTAGGCTGAGCTACCTATACATGACTGTATACTTAGTTTTATTATTCAGGCTTCTAAATGGCAACTAGTGTATGGAAGGGTTGCCTTTCTCTAGAGTTGCTATTGGTATGATGACTGTATTTCCATATTTGTAAATATCTATGTGTGTTCTGTAGGATATATCATATGGGAAATGGTCTTGCAGATTTACAAATGTACCAAATTCTATTTCAAGGGAAGTTATGCCGAAGTAAAGACTGCAGCTTATGTTGTGAGTATTAAAGTCCAGACTAAAGTATCAGTTTTATTTTAAATACTCAAAGTCTTCGTAGGAAAGCTTGTATTCATGAGAATTTACCTCAAGAGAAGCAAAGAGAACAGATGTGTAAAATGAATGTAAACAGAGTGTAAATTTAAGGGAAAAGACTCTATCCCAAATTCTGAAACTAAAGCAACCCTCAAATACTTCTAATTCCATGAATTATTCTTACCCTAGAAGTTTCTGTGTCTCAAAACTAGTGCTTTAGCCATCATGAAGTACATTTTGTAACAGAAAAATTACTTGTGCAAAATCATATATAATAAAAAGAAAGTTCTGATCCTTATGAAGAGATGCAGAAGGACTCAACTAGGCAGTATGAGAATGTCACTACCAGGGCAGGTATTGCTATTTGCAGATACCAGCCCCTAACATTACTGTTGCCTCTGTTGATTTTGTACTTGACAGCAGAAGAACAGCATGTGATGAGCAAAATTGCTCCTGGCTTTTTGAAACCTGTGTTTGGAAAGCAGGAACATCACAAAAGAAGTAGAACTGTTTCACATTATGCATACATGAATTCAGATAATGCAACTAGAGCAATTACAAGACATAATCCAGCCAGCTGAAAAGCTATATCTTAACTATGCAGTTCTAGCTGAGATGTTCCAGTCAACAAGCGTTTAGCTAGAGGCAACTGTACCTCAAAACAAAACATTTTCCAAAATTAGTTTTGAAAAATAGGCCCTTGGGAACTACTTTTTTAGATACTTGGTGATAAGGCAGTTTGTAAAGGAACATCTACTGCCCTAAGTTTTGCTTATACTTGCAAAAAGACAGAGCTGCCCTATTTAGAAGATCGGAGCCTTTGGCATATTATATGGGTTATACATAATTTAATCTTTTAACAGAATATTTTAAATCATCCCCAGAAAAAAAAAAATAAAAAAAAATCTGTAGAGTCATTGCAGAGCAATCACATTACTTCTAAAATCATCCTCAGACCTGTTTTCCTTTTATCCTGTGTTCTGTAGGCACTAATCTTGGTTTAAACTAGTTTCAAAACACCCCATTTAAATCTCTGGGAAGATTGTTTTTGCTGAATCACTTAAACATTCTTAGTAATTTTTGTTTTCAACCTTTTGGTTTCAACCTTATTTCTAATACATTTAACAGAGACCTTAATAAGGAGCATGGAAGACAGGTGTAAACAAAGAGAAGAGAAAAATAATCTATTTTAAAATTCCTGAAATGTTGACCGTTGTAAATTTTTACACCTAGTGAAATGCTGGGAGTACAGACCATCCTCTACTTGCTCTCTATCTGTGGGTCATAATCTGCTTGACATGTCCTGATAGTTTGGTGGTTTGTTTTTCTTTCCTTACAGTTGATTCCCACAAGCTACAGGATATATTAACATTTTAGTTCAGATGAGGAGCTTACCATTGCCGACAATTTGCCAACTATCCCTTCTTGCTGTGCTTTGCTACAACATACACTGCATTCCTTTAAAATGTGTCTAAAACAGAAGATTCACACCTAATTCATACCAGCTACTATGACTAGTCTAAATTTGTACCACACTAGAGCCATTCTAAAATAAAATCCCTTGACATGACACACTTTATATGTAATATATGAAGTAGATGTTTGCACTGTCTGCTTTGCTCTACAGATCTGCTCTCATTGGGCTACAATGAACAGACCACGTAGCTACTGTAGACATAGACAGAGTTTGTCTAAATAAATAAATAAATCCCTTCCCATGGAATGTTTATGCCTGTGAGCACTTAACCTTTATATCACTATAAATTTTTACTTGTTCTAGAAATAATTTACTTGATAGGGATATAAAGAAATTCTTCTTCATGAAAGAAAAACATAGGCACAGATAATACTATTTTGCCTTTAAACAAGCTTCACACACAAAATAACACCAGCCTGTACTAGGCTTAAAGATAGCTGAAAGTATTCTCAATGGTGTTTATTGAAGATAAAAGTAATAGTACTGGGTTTTCTTCTCAAAATTCAAAGAAAGAAAGAAATTTAAGGAATGAAAAATATGAGTGATTGAGTCACTTCTTGATGTGTGTGTGTGTGTTGTTGGTTTTGTTGTTGTTTTTTACATCCCTCATTGACCACACAATTCTCTGATTTCATTTCAAATTCCATACACATTTCTATGGTTTTGTCCGTATAACAGTGGATGGTAAAATTTGCAGTTCTCTATAAAACAGTTAACTCACCAGCAAAAGCATTTAGAATTCAATACATGATATAGTGTTTTACCTTAAAAGAGAAAGTGGATTAAGTATTAATTTGCAGAAGTCAGTCTCTGCCTTCGTCATGATGTAATTACTTATACAACTTGTATGATCTTGTCTGAGTTAACCTAACTTTACATGTTTTACCTCTTCCAGATGAAATATGAAAATTGATTAGTTAATGCCTTACAGCACCTTGAAAATATGTGAGATTTACTATCTTATATTATTAGAAATTCTAACTACTGAAGATTGTGTGATTCTGTGGGTTTTGTATGTATCTAACGCAAATGAAGGGCTTAATTCTTACTACTCTTCTGTCATACCCCCCTACTAGCAAGATTGGATCACAATAACATCTCAACCATATGAAAAGATCTTTACTAAAGGTGTAAAGTAGTTTTCTCCTTAATGCTCGAGTCTTCCTCTAAGATCCTGTTTCAGGTTCACTGTCGTTGCTGGCTGATCACTGCATGGATCAAGCTTCTCTGGCTTCTCCAGCTGGCAGTGTGCAGGGGGTCAGCAGCTGCTCCCCTCATTTGATGCTCTGGGCTGGGTGTTTACTGAAGCAGTAATGACCAGTTTTAGAAAAAAAAAAAAATCATTGCTGAGGGGAAGCTTCCCCAGCACATCATAGTGAAACGTGGTCAGAAGGAAATTGAAATACCTGATAGAATGAAGTCAAGAATTTTGGATAGAGAACAGAACTGCACAGCACCAGGTGGTTTTTGGAGCAAAAGTTGACCCAGGTATAATTAAAGAAATGACTGAAATCAATCATATTGCACTACATATAAAACATACTGGAAGTGTTAGAGAAAATTATAACTTTGGCCCAAGAGGTAGAAAAACATTAGAAAGCAGGATTTAGACAGAGCTTTTCACTTGGATTTGGTCTGTTTCAGTATCATTAATTTCATAAAGCTCATTGGTTTCAGTATCATGAATGTCATAAAGCTCATTGGTACATGCACAAAATGACAATGGCAGGAGGGAGAGCCCAAATCAAAACCTGGCAATAGCCCCTCAACATAAGCCCAGAGGGACACAGAAGAGCAGGTGGGAACCAAAATGAAGGACTCTTGAGGAACAGCCACCTTGTCCCAGATGATCCATCAGCCCCAGTGTTCAGGCATAGAACAGGTCACCATGAGCCACAGGGAGCAGCTCTCCAGACCACCATTCAGACTAAGGGTGTTTCTGCCTAAGTGTGGGACATGTTATGGGGTGCAGGGGAAAGCAGTTTATGGTCACATAGAACTTATTATGGGATGTTTAGGGGAGGCAAAAAAAAAAAAAAAAAAAGTGGGACAAGGGAGGGATCCAGGCGATTTAAGGAGGAACAGGAGGGGGAAGATGGCGAGGTAAGGGGATAAAAAGGACCAGTGATATGTAATTATTTGGCTAGTCAGTATGCCTGTCTAGTGAGAATATATGTATATACACACATGTATAAGGCATATCACCACAGCAGCTGGGCTCAGATACACAGTCTACCCAGTTGCTGGCATCTGAACATGTGAGCCCCCATGAATATATTTAGACTGTACTTTAAATTATTGTTTATGCAAAATATTCATTACAAGTTAAATGCTGATACATTTAGTTAATCTTAGATAATTTTTCAATTATCTAAGATTGAAAATGGACAGGAGAAGATATTGAGTAAAGATTGATGGTGTTCAACTCATTTAAGTAAATCAATATTTAGCAGATAGTTTTTAAGCATCACAATGCTTGTTTGTTTTTTAACAGCCTAATATTCATTAAAATTCATTAAATGACCTATATGCTCTAGTGGTGAAATCACATCCCTGTCATAGGCAAGAAGAGCCTGTAAGGAAGTAGTAGATTTTAAGATATTAAAGTTTACTTTCTTTTCATCATCCTATTAGCAGAGGAGATAAAGTAGGGGTATCATGAGTGTATTAAGAAAAAAGCCATTCATATTTGGAAGTTTAT